TGGGACCTCGGCGCTGCCCTGTCCTGGAGAGCGGCGACTCTGCGCCCTCATTAGGGAACATCGAGGGACGCCCCCGAGCGTGGTGTTTACTTTTAAGTCGCCCCTAGGTGTCCACGCAGAGCACGGGCGCGCGCACCCCGCCCGTGTCCACCTGGACACCCCGTCGGTGACCAAGGCCCGGCAGAACTCTCAGCGGGCCAGGGAAGGGGCCAGTGGGGCCGGGGGTTATCGAGGGCTTTACCGTAGGTAGGTAAATGTTTTTCCTTGACCCCTAATGCCGGGGCCACTGGGTTAGGGCTGGACGCTTAGGAGTGCCAAATGGCAACTTTCCGGCCCACAACCCTAACGCTGGGGGGGGTGGGTTTCTAGAAGTCTCCACCTTTGCCTAGCAGCCAATCCTAGATGGCCACACATTCTCAACTGATACACATATAGACACACACACACTCGCATACATGTGTACCCACAGGCAGTTTTAAATGCATCAGCATGAATAGCCCCTAGGAGAAAAGGACAAGAGGACAAACAAATTGCACGTGTTTAACTATTTTTATCTCTAAGAGTCTTTGACAAAGCATCAAGGCAAAAAGTGTTTACTAGAAGGATGGCAGCTTACTTACTAGGGCTCAAGTACAAGTGTGTAGGAACACTGGGTTATTGTCAGAGAAACGTGACAAATGAGTGCTACAAGATGTACAAATGCGTTTTGACACTTTATTTTGTCTTATTTCTAACCTAAAATCAAAGCTTGTATTCTTAAGGAAAAACACACCAAATTATTATTATTATTAGCAATAGCAGTAGTATGACTATTTTTAAAGTGAGAGTCTCGCTAGAGTTTGGTTATGTTGCCCAGGCTGGAATTAAATTCTTGGACTCAAGGATCCTCCTACTAGGTAGCCGGGATTATAGGAGCACTTGGGCTGGCTATTTTTATTTCTTTGTCTATCATATCCAATCTGCCAACATGCCAAATTATCTCCTGAAGGAATGGTTGCCTTCCTACAAATTTCTTCCTCAGGCAAGTGGGATTGAAAAGGGATGCTCCTTGCCCTGCTGATGTTTGAGAACCTTTTTATCCATGGGCAGTGGTGGGAAGTGTTCTAGCCTGGATAGACGCAGTGTATATAATACACAGGCCTGGAATATATGTTCTCAAAGAAATCCATGCTAATTCCACAACATTATGGTTTAGGAATCTTCTCAGAACTTTGTCTTAAACCTCCAAGATTACTTCAGAGGAACTGAAAGCTTCATGCTTCTAATACTCAGCATGTGAGTGAGGAAATGAGAGAACTGGAAAAGAAATCATACTTCTGCAAAGAGGACAGCCAGAAGGAAATGGATCCCCTCTTCCAAGAAAAAGAAAATCTTCCCCCCAATTTTTTTTTCTCTTCCTTTACTACCAAAGAGCCTTATTTAGGCTAGGTATGATGGCTCACACCTGTAATCTCAGCACTTTGGGAGGCAGAGGTAAGAGGATTGCTTGAGGCGAGAGTCTCACTTTATGGATTTTCTCAAATTCCCTGTGTGGCATCTTGGCTATAACCAAACAATCTCAGGACTAGTCTATGTTATAGTTTTTGACTAGTATTATGTATTCCCTAGGAATGATCTAGATACTCTTTTGATGGAAAGAATGAAACCATTCTTCTGTTCGGAGTCCAAGTTTATTAGATTTCATTTTAAAGCATATGGGCAAATATTCCCAGGAAGTATATGACATTAACTATTTGCCTTTGGGTGATGCTGAAGCAGGGAGGGAAAACCAGCCTGAGGCAGGAGTCCTGGATGGAATCCTAGATCTGTGCCTGAGACCTTCCCAAAACCCTTCCAAATGTGTACGCACAGTGAACTTTTCACTTTCCAAGATGTTTTCCATCTCTAAGAGTGACAACCCTTTTGGCACCTTTGCCTGGTTGGATTCTACCAGTAGGGTGGCACCAGGAAGAAAAAGAACAAGGTGCAGGGAATGGGCATTGTATCAAGAGTCTGAAAGGCCTGTGTTTTCTTTCCTTCTCCATTCTCCGGTAGGCCAAACAAAAAGCTTTTTATTGCCAGTTTTCGCCACCTACTGGTTGATGTTTAACAGTATTATTCAAAAAGTTCTCTTCATCTATCAATATAAATGTTCCCCAAGTTTATTAAGTCCTAAAATAACATTTTTCTAATCAGAACATATCAATGTTTCATATTGGTATGCATCAAAATTTTTCCAACTATTGAACTTTTTATTTAAAATGAATGTAGAAAGAGACCATTAATTGAGAGGAAATTGATAACCAATAAGGTGAGATGAAAGAGTTAAAAATATAAAATATGACCCCAAACCATTGAGGTTATTTTAGGTTAAAAATATATGGCCCCAAACTGAAGCGGAAATAAATCCATAAATAAAAAGGACTGACTACAGAAAATAAAAACAAGTAGTCCATATAGCTTGCAAAAAAAAAAAAAAAAAAAAACTGCTTAAAAAATAGCACCTCATAGGCTTAAAAAAAAATTCAAAATATTAGCTTCCAATTTCAAGTATCTTATACATTATAGACTTTTATGGTGAATAAGGCCATGCTTTTTCAAATAGTTTGAATATATTGCAGGTGGGTATTATATACGAGTCATACTGTCCCCAATTCGTTTGGGCTTCAGAGCCCACCTTCTGCCATAAATGAGCACATCCAGGTCGATCCATGCTCACAAACCATTCTTGTCAAATTGGGGAACTCTTTTGTCAAGTCTAAACCAGCAAGCCTTGGTTTAACTTAGGAATCCACCTAACTAAGTTACAGGGTCCCCAAATGTCAAAAATTGTTCAGAATAATTAAGCAATAATCTTTGAAATTAGACAATAAACTACAAAAAAATCATTCTGTTGTGTGTGTTTAATAGTGGGTAAATAATGTTTACTTTTGGTTTACGATGGCAAGTATAGGAAATTCACTCGTGGTGAGTTTTTTGGGTTTTTTTTTTTGCCTTTCACATTCATAACTTGGCGTTAAAGTGAAATAAAGGGTAGGAATTTGTCTTACATTTTTCAAATGCCTACTGCTCTCATTAGATTGAAACTGCAGTAATAGAACCAAACAAGGTGTAACACCATAGTATTGAGGAGGGACAGCTGAAGAAAGTATATCCCGATATGCAATAACTTTTATTCTCTTCTGCTATTTAGCATAGAGCACATCTCTCAGATATTAACTGCTAATGAACACAATTAGAAAAATTAAGGTTAATATGTTTCTTTCAACTAGGGCTGCCAAGACAAAGTACCACAAACTGAGTAGGTTAAAACAAAAATTCATTTTCTCACAGCTAGAAGTCCAAAAAAACAAGATGCCAGCAGGGTCGCTGCTCCCTCTAAAATTCTAGGTAGACCCTTCCTTGGCTCTTTCTAGCTTCTGGTAGTGGCCGGCAATCCTTGATGTTCCTTGGTTTTCAGTTGCATCACTGTAATCTCTGCCTCTGCCATGACATGTGTGGCTGTTTTCTCTTATTGTTATATGGTCACCAGTCATATCGGATCAGAGCCCATCCTAAAAACTTCAACTTGACTATATCTGTATAGACCTTATTTCCAAATAAGGCCATTCACAGGTACCGGGAGTTAGGATTTCAACATTTTTTAGGGTGACGCAATTCAATCCATAACAATATGTATCTAAGCTGGCCGCGGTGGCTCACGCCTACAACCCCAGCACTTCAGGAGGCTGAGGCGAGAGGATTGCCTGAGCCCAGGGGTTTGAGAGCAGCCTGGGCAACTTGGCGAGACCTCATCTCAACAATAAATCAAAAAATTAGCCGGGCATGGTGGTGTGTGCCTGTGGTTCCAGCTACTGTGGCTGAGTAGAAGGCTGAGTGGAAGGATCACCTGAACCCAGAGGTCGAGGCTGTGGTGGCCATGAGCCTGTCTCTGCACTCCAGCCTGGGCAAGAGTGAGACTCTGACTCAAAAACAACATGTATCTAATGTATCTTTTCAAACTTATGAGAATTGTTTACTCCAGAGCCTAAGGACTCAGCAACATTAGAACTGACTTTCAAGGGGCACCCTGACATTTCTCAACCTAAAGTCTGGCTATTTCATATTTCTGCTCAAAGTTCTTCAAAGGCTAAAATCTCAACTCACATGTGATCTGGCCCAAGCCTGCCACCTCAGTGCCCATCTTTCTCTTCCCCTTTCCCTTCTTGCAGCCATATTCATCTTTTGTTGTTTCTGTAATATACCAAAGTCTCTCACATCTTTTGCCTTTGCACATCTGTGGGTCTCCCTAAAATGTACCCTGGCAAATTCATACTCATTCCTCCTGTTTCAGTTCAAGAACTTCTTCCTCTGTGAAACCATCCCTCACTTTCCTGGGCAGTCTTTGGACTACACGTGTGCTGCTAGAAAACATTTAGTATATTTGTATTAATATATAAATTTTAATTACTTTAAAAATTTGACTAAATTTCACATTTCTTAAACTTTTGCTTATATAACCTACATCACAGTCACACAAACAGAACATACTTGAAACAAGAGCTAAGAATGCTAAATATTTACTCCAAAAATATTACTCCTTAAAAATGATAAAAGTCAGGTCTGGTAAACTCTTACGATGCAATGAGGATGACATTATAGGAGAGGTTTGTTTTGTTTAATAAGTCTCTTTAAAAAATAGAAAAATAAGTTTTCAAATCTGTAAAGCTTGTTCCCCATTTATTTTTTGTTGTGATTCAGAAGTACAAGATATGAAATTGTTACAATTCTACCACAAAAGTTTCTAGAGTAGCAATCACAAGTTCTATTATATATCAAAATAGCCTTGTGCACTTTTATCAATTTAAAAATTTCTTTAGAGTTGTCACATCAAGCAAGTGTCAAATATAATAGCTACGATCTCCTCTTTGAAATATCAAATCCACAGTCACTGCAATGAACAGCACAATTTAGTCCAGAATATGGAAAGTTATGGTTAGCAGGTATTTTTTTTTAAAGCTGACAACTAAGAACTAAAGGAAATGAAAACGACACAAGCATCTTATGTCAAAAAGTATGAATATTTAAAAGTGGCCTCAAGTGAGTAATATATTTTTAAATTAGAGCATGATGTAATAAAATTAATCTATTGATAAAATTCATCAAAATAAATTCATGGCATTGCCTTGTTCTAGAAAGATAAAGACATACAATTCTTTGAATTGACGCAACTATTACCACAATGCGTTTATCATCTAAAAATTAGAAAGTCTCAAAAGTTTCACTTGCAACAATAATATATGGTTTAACATATCAAGATAAAGACTTATAACTAAATATAGAGAGAATTCTCATGATTTTGCTTTTCTAAAAAGAAATGAGGACTGTTTTCTCTACATGTTTCAATTATAAAGATTAATTGAACATATTTGGAATTTTTATGGCTGAGTGGCATTAATTTTAAATAAATACACTTATAAGCACATTATAATAAAAATAATACAGCCAAACCAAACAACAAGCACTGCAGAACTGCGAATTCAGATAAGCTGGTTTTGGTCACATGGAGAGATAACATTTCAACAGAATTATAAAGAGACTTTTACTGCCATAAGTAAGATTTGCCTACTTCTGAGTTCAGTAGAATATGTTGAATCAATGTGATCCACACACAAAAAAGTGATTGTTTCCCTAATTTCAGACTCAGAGCTTCCCCTCTTCTACCCCAAACAGAAAAACAAGTTGTACAAGGATTGAACCAACAAAGATAAAAAATAGAATTTACCTTGTAGTATTTTCGAGTTTTGGATGAAGTCAGATTCATTGTGTGATGCTTCTTAAATGCCTACACTCCCTTATTCAAAATCCTTTGGGCCAGACGTTTCAGAATTAATCATTTTTTGGATTTTAAAAAGGTAATATGAGCATATTATAAATATTACAAGATACCTTCACAGAGCCTGGGGAAGCACCTATAATCAAACGCTTTGATCCTTCTCCAGGTGAAATTAACATGCAGTCATACAACGTGGCATAAATAAGAAGCTCAATAATCTCACATCAGTTCAAGTCAGATTTTGTTACTAAGTGAATTATGACATCAAATTTAGAAAATAAACTTCTAAACTAAATCTATTTCAAAGGTTTTTGAATAACAGACTGTGCGCCTCTGACATCTCTGACAAAGCAGCTCACTCCCTAACATTGTCATCGCTACAGATCTGCTCTCATGCAATTTAAATCGGATTAGGGATAATATCTTCTACCATAGAACAGGGACTCTTAAATTTGTTCAGGCAGTAGAATATCTGGAGGTGACACTTCTCTCTGGGAGGATAATTTGAAAAAAATGTATATTGAAATAACTGTTGTTAACATTATTAAATCAGACACCATCTTGAACTAGACTTTAATGCAGACCAGTAGTAGAAGGTGCCAACATTCAAGGAATACTTATGAGAAAAGAAAACTGAGAAACATCCAGATATTAATATAACTGTTTCTGCAAATTGGGAAGAGCCATTATTAGTGGCTGTACAATACAACTCAATACAGATTGGCTATATAAGACTGAAAGATTCATGAAGTCATTTTGGCATCCACCCACCCTGAAAACTGTAATGAAATAATTTCAAGCAATTTATATATTAAGTAGTAATTTCTTTTATATTTATTAGTGTTTAAAATACGCTGTTCTCAGATCCTGATAAAAAGATATCATGGATTAAAGCCATTAACATCTGATTATTTAAAAATTAAGTCATTTTAAAATCAAAAGCAAAAAAGGTTTGCTAACTTTTAGGTCTTCAATCTTTTGTTGTAGAGTTTTCATTTTTGTTTTTTAGAATAAAAATTTTTCTACTTTAAAAGCAGGAGGTCTTTTCTCACCAAAGTGAACTGGATGGAATGTGCTACCCCATATATGCAGGCAAGACAGGAGACAACATCAAGGTGAAGGTAACTATCCTGAAGTCAGAGGAGTATGTACAACAAACAGGATGAAATAGGAAATGCTGGCTAACACTCATCAGAGGCACTTGCTGTAGAAATCCACTACATGAACACAAAATCCTGTAACCTGGAAACAAGATTCATGGGAACAAGAGGATTCCAGGGCTATAAAGTTAGTGATGAGTGGGCTTCCTTAAACATGGTATGAAGATAATGTCTGTAGGGTCAGTGGGAGAGTCACAGAAAGAACAGCTGATCATTTTATTTCAAAATCAGGTATCTTCAAAATCAGCCTTGTCTTTTTTTCTTAATGAGTAAAATGTAAATATACGATCATCAGCCTTTCTAAAAGCTACATATATGCTACGAGAAGAATGTCACACTTTTTAATTTTTTCATTTCTTTTAATTAATTCATGAATTAATTTAAAAAGTCAAGTCAAAAAATTTTAGCTAGTCTTTTTTCTTTTCTTCTTCTTCTTTTTTTTTTTTTTTTTACAAAAATATTACAGCAGTATAAGCAAAAGTGGAAAGGAAGAGATGGGGAGAACAAGTAGACACTAAAATGGAATAGGTGAACTTCAGGTCATCATGGCTATTGAAAAAATTGTAAACTTTTAAGTTTCTAAGGTTTATTTCTCTTCAGAAACATTTAAGGAGGCTGCCTTTCTCAAGAATGAAAAATGAAACATCCCTTACGCATCTGAGTCTAAAGAAGACAGAAAGCATTGCTCTTCCTACTGGAAAATCTTTCTCTCCTTGCCTCCCACTGCATTGCCCACTCTCATCCCCCTTGCAGTTTGAAGGGATCAAAGAGAGAGAGAAGCCACGAGCTTCCACCAGCAGCAGAGTGAGTCCTGAGTTCCACACAGTGCTGTCAGTGACATCCACACTCACTGGCAACGAGCAAAATTCATCTTTAATAAAATAGACCAAGCTAAAAAGAAAAAATAACCTCAGAAACCTATAAGCTGCCTTTCACATGGAAGGTTTAAAAAAGTCCCAAAGATTTCTTATATGCCATAAAGCACATTTCTGGACTTGATCTCTATGGGGCAAAAAAGAATAAATAGAAAAAAATGTTAATTATCATTCTGGAATTCTGTTCTTTACCTTGTTTGCACGCTGTTAGTTCTCAGACCATCACCTCTCTACCTCTAAACCCAGAAAGTCAAATGGTCTCCTAATTTGTGTTTGCATAGAATTGATAGTATTGTGTGGAGTTCAACTTTTATCCCTTGTTGGCAGCCAGATTTCTGAAGAGCAATGGTCCCATCTCATATATTCAAAAACAATACTTAAGTGTCTATAGGCCAAAAATTGGGTCCTACTTAGCAGCAAACTTTTCAAATTGTTTGGAAACAGTCTTCTTCCAAGGGGTAGGAATTAGGCAGTTTTGTCTGCAGTTTCAGATTTTTCTCTCTGCATCATGCATCGACGAACTATGCTATCAAAACTTCCAAGATAAAACAATGCAATAGTGCGGAAAAGGCCCATGGTGACCACCTGCAACATAAAGAGAGAACTTTTAGCTCATCCGACAGTACAATACCTTGCAGCTCATCCGACAGTACAAGAAAATCGTTCATTTCATATTTATGTCTCTAATCTCTAGTTTCCAAGACACGTCTTCTACTCTGCTCCAGGATAAGTATAATGAAAACCTCGTAAATGTCAGTAAGCCCTGAGAGTAGAATCTGTGTGCTCTACACCACTGCCCAGCACGGGGTTGCCAGGTAGAAGACAAAATTGTGTCCAGTTAATAAATTCAAATATCTATCATAAAACTATAAGAAAAGGACTGACAGTGGTGGGGAACTGGGGGGGGTAGGGAAGGGAAGGGAGGTGGGACTAACGGTAGTCAATATCTGTCTAGGGACAGGGAGATACCCCTTATCAACAAGGGTGCCTGAACGATGCACATTTGTATATCTAACCCTTAACTGTACCCCACAATTTTATAATAAAAAATATGTTTAAAAAATTAAAATAATAATAATAATAAATAAATAAATTCAAACCATAAGCAGAACAAAATATTCTTAGCAGTCTCAGGGCTATCACAGCTAAAGAAGATCCGCTCCAGCATCCCAAATATCCAAAGTACATTCAAAGCACTTTTGGTTTATGATACATGTTCTAAGCACAAAAGCAAGATGCTGTACTAGGTGGTGAGAAAGACACAGTCCCTGCCCTCAACGAGCTTGTCTTGGACTAGAAAGACAAATCAAGTACTGTTTCGGGGTTAAGACAGCACTTACCCTTATCCATTTTCCACTAAGAAGAATAAATAAAACAACTCCAAAGGGGATTTTGAAAAGACAGGAAGCTACAAAGCAAAACATTTTCAAATGTCCAGTCTCAACAAATTTGCCTTCCAGGCTCCTTTCCTGGGCTCCCTTTTTTTCAGAAAGCTACTAGAAGAGGTAAACAACCACAGTGAGGGGCTCAACAGAGAAAGATGACATCAGGTAACACAAGAGGGGACGTGACACAAAGAAGGCAGAGGCACTCCCAGGTCAGCCGGGAGAGGAAAGCTAGGCTCCTGGAGGGGAGTGCGCCCAGAGGGAGCACAGAAGCTCCACGCCATGCCCATGTACCCTGCTCTATCCCTCTCTTCATCTGTTGTTCATCTGTAACTTTTGTAATATTCTTTCTAATAAACCACAAACATAAGTAAGTGCTTCCCTGAGTTTTGTGAGCTATCCTAGCAAGTTAGTCAAACCTGAGGAAGGGGTTGTGAAAACCACAATTTATTGTCCATCAGACAGAAGTATGGGTGACAACCTATTACTTGTGATTGGCACCTCAAGTCTGGGGCAGGCTATTTCCAGGTAAAGATATCAGAATTTAGTTGAATTAGAGGACACCTAGATAGTGCCAGCTGAAGAATCTGCCACTGCAGAATTGATTGATTTGTTGTTGGTGGGGGGAAATTCCCACACACTTCTTGGTGACCAGAGGTCATAGAAGTCTCTTGTGCTGATTGTTGAGTAAGAATAGACAAAACATTTAGGTTTCCCCCGCCCCACCCCCAATATCCTCAGAGCACTGAACCCAGTCCTGTAGTCCTCTGGAAAAAGCAATGTTTAAGGTGAGACCTGAAGGGAGATTAGAAATTGGCAGAACATTGAGAAAGAAGAGGAAAAGAAAGAAAAGTGGCACAAAAGTTTAAGTGGGGAAGGAGGTCAGAGGGCTTGTGTTATGAAATAGAATTTATCCTTTATCCTGATGGTATTGGAGAATCCTGAGAACTCTCATGCAAAGTAGATTTGCACTTTTGAAAAACTGTTGTGGAAAAATGTGAAGACACACTTAAAAGCCACCAGGAGGCCTGGACAGAGGGTTACAGACCACAGTGACTGGGGGGGTGGCTGGGGCTGGGTCCTGTCCCATGAGGCAGCAGCCACCTGTGCCTGCTGATGACTGCCAGGTAAGAATGCAGACCCTGCACTGCTGGACCTTCCGAATTTCCAAGAAAAGTCTGAAATCTGGACTTCTGATGTAAAATCTAATTTTAAAAACATTTTACTTAAACATACACACTCACACCAGATGGACCCAACAAAACGCCTTATAGGCTCATGAGACCTATTTACAACCTCTGGCTTGCAGAGTGCACAACTCAGGAGAGGGACCTGCTGTGGAGACCCAGGCCCGAGCTCCAGAGCAGCAACAGGACTGCAGAAAATGGGACAAATTTGAGGAACTAAGTGACGAGGGTGGGATCTGATCACCAACATGAGGGGCAGAACGGGAGAGTCAGGGTGACACTGCAGTTTCTGACAGGACACTTGTGTAAACATGAGCACCAGTCCTAGAGAAAGAACGTAGGAGGGGGAGTAGGTGAGTTGGCGGAGGCTGGGGCAGGAGGCAGGACACATGCTGAACTGAGGATATCTCATCACTTCCCAGATAAAATGTTTAAAAGTATACAGAACTGGAGCTCAGGAAACAGTGATGGGCTGGCATTTTATCCTTGATATGATTCCTACAGAAGTGCGAGTCATGAGGAGGGACAAGGTCGCTCATGGAGAATGTGCAGAATCCACACAGTTGAGAGGAAGAATGAAGAGGAGTTGGTTAGGGGGTAAAAAATATGGTTAGATAGAAGGAACATGTTCTAGTATTTGATAGTGCGGTAGGGAAATTATAGTTAGCAAGAATTTATTTTAGATTTTAGAAGAGATGAATTAATGTTCCCAATACAAAGAAAAGATGTATGTTTGATTGAGGTGATGGATATCCCAAGTACCCTGATTTGATCATTGCACCTTGTATACAGTTATCAAAATATCACAGATACCCCAAAAATACATGCAACTATTATAAGTCAATAAAAAATATTTTAAAAAAGAATACACACATTCATTCAACTCAGGTGTTCTAGAGTTCCTAATAAGTGCCAGACACTGGCTGCTAGCGCTACAATGGCAAACAAGAGGACAAGGTCTGTTCACAAAGAGTTTATGACTTAGAGAGAGTCAACCACTGAGAAAGAATATGGTCATGAGTATATTACAGAGAGAAAAGAAAAAGAAGCTTAGGAAAGACCCTGAAGAAAACCAACAGCTGGGTCATCTGCATCAGTTTGAACGTGGTCTACTGCGTCGAATTCAGTACTTGTTAACCAGCCCATGGCTTTGTCTTTCTAGAGCAGACCCTCCATGGTAACTCCCGTTACATTACTACTACTATCCCCTTGTTTGTCAGTCTCTCCCACTCGACTGCAAGCCCCTTAGGTTAGAGAGGTTGCCTTACATCTGACTCTCCAGGAGCAAACATAGTACCTAGCACACCAATGAACCATGAACTTTTGTGTGTCTTGGACGAAACTATAAATTCCATTAGCATAGGAACAATGTTTAATCCTTGACCTCCCTAAACTTAGCTATCTGTGACTTGATTCACCTAGAAAAGGTTACTAGATTAATATCCTGGCACTTTTATGCAAGGCTAACCCTAAACTACTCTAGACAGGTGAATTCCATTGTTCAAAACACTTTGGAACAGTGGTTCTTAGATGAAAATCCAGATAAAACCTCAAAAGCAGAGATAGTGTTTTTATCTGCAAGGCCCAAGACAGAGTACTTGTTACTAGTCTAAATTCCTAAAGTTTTATCTTTAACCTATTTCCTATGTATTTGCTCCTGGTAGGAGAAGAAACAAAGTTGACAGCACAACCAAAATCCTTTACATCCTTAAAGTTACTTAGTCTTCCTTTGTCTTTTTCTCAGTGAATTTTGATAAGAGACAGTTTTTGTCTTGTTTACCCATCTGTCTGTCTGTCTGTCTGATTGCTGGCCTGGGTAGAACTTACCTGCTGGAGCCCTTCAGTAATGGAAGTTACTGGAGCCATCCCACAAGTCAGGGCTGAGAGCATGTACCCATCTGAGCCAATGGAACTGTTAAAATTTCCTTGCTAAAAGAGAAGAAAAAAGAAAGAAGGAATCATGGCAGCATGGAAAGAAATCAGTTCACCATATCAGAAACAATGAAACATGTCTGTTCACTTTAGGTGGGATAAGATGGTAACAAAGAATCTACCAGAGGTCATAAATGGATGCATGGTCTTGGCAGATAGGTAGTACTCAAAATGTGAGTCCATAGACTGCTTGAGGTCCCCGAGGACAAAATGTCATAATAATCTAAGATATTAATTGCCTTTTCCACCAGAGGGGCATTTGCACTAATGGGCAAAACTGTGTAGGCATTAGGACAAATCACAGTGCACTTACTAAGCTAGACTAGTAGTCACTGTCATCTCTGTTGCCACACATACTCCTAGTAATAAATAAATAAAGAAAATACAACTTTAAAAAATTGAAAAGTGTCAGTTTTGTGTACAAATGCCCTTGATAAAACAGAAAAATTCACTATTTTATTAAATCACAGTTCTTGAGGTCATGTCATCTTAATAATTCTGTGTGACAAATGAGAAATACGCGCGAAGTGCTCCTGCTGTGTTGCACACCAAAGGATGATGCCACCTGGAAGAAAAGCCCTCGCAAAACTGTTTAAGTCAGGGCTGAACTTGCCGCTTTTTTCACGGAATGTCATTTTCATATGAAAGAACCACTGACAAGCAACATATGGTTATTCAGACTTGGGTATGTGGCAGACTTACTGAAAATAATAAAATGAGCCTGTCACTTTAGGGCAAACAACTAGCTGAATGTGTGGTCAATGTTAAAATCTGAGCTTTCAAGAAAAAAATAAGATTTATGAAAACTAGTATCTGCTACTGTGAGACTGTCAGCTTCCCAATACATAAAGTCGTTTATGCTAAAATCAACACTGATATTAATGAATGTAATTTTTTGTGATCACTCAGTGAACCCATATTTTCCAAATGACTAATGCATAATGTTACAAAATCATGAATGATTAAAAGATCCATTCAAACTGCAAGACAGATCAATGGAATTTAATGTAACAGGGAACAAAAAGTTCATTAATGTGGCTACCAGTTCCATACTGCAACTAACCTTTAAGAAACTACCCTTTGTCAAGTTTGGTTTTCTATGAAATAAAGAATGTCCATAATTATCTGAAAAGCCCAGTAAAATACTCCTCCCTTCTCCACCTCAGTATCTGAGCTTGACCTGATTTTCTTCATATCCTTCAATCAAAACAATATATTACAACAGACTGTATGCAGAAACAGCTATCAGATTCCAGCTGTCTCCTATTAATACAGACCTTAAAGAGACTGATAAAAATGTGAAACAATGCCATCCTTCTCACTGAATTTCTGTTTTGAAAAATAGTAATTTTTGTAAAAAGTGCCACATTAAAATGCAATGGGTTTATTATTGTTATTGTAAATGAACTAATAAATATTATGCTAGTACAATATTTACAATAATATAGTTTCAATTTCTAATGTGGCAAATATTGATCAAAATAACCCATCCAAAGAAGCAAAAGTTCTCTGAGGTTGCAAACAATTTACAACAGTATAAAGTGGTCAAGAGAAGAAAGTTTGAAAACCACCAAACTAAATGAATTCTGCCAAAATACCAACAACGATTTAGGATTCTCAAAAACACTGAGTGTGTTTGCTTTGACCTGAGGAAACAAGAAAAACAAAGTCCTATCCAAGCCACTTGTGCCATCATCTTCCAATGCCTTTTAATGTACTCAAGGCAAAGTTCTTCTTCACATTTGTATATGTTACCAGAGTTCAGTATTTCTTTTACTCTGCTCAGTTTAGCCTGATCCAACTGCATTTATGTGGCTTCAATGCATCAAGGCTGTCCTGCCGTGCGCTGATACCTCTCATTCCAATTGTCTTAAAGTTTTCAAATTCAGTGTGGGCCTGTGGTTTACAGACATCCCTCAAAAATGTACATTTTTCTGCATTAACAGAAATGTTGTCAAAAAGCATGTGGCACATATGTTGTTCTACAAAATAGCACATGGCTTCTAAAGACAGCGTTTTTAATTTCAAGTGAAGTCAGGCACCAGAAAAGCACATCAGCTGGCAGGCTGGGAGGATGGGAGGATAGGCCCAGTGGGCTGGTCTCATTTTCTTACTAGCTAATTTTGCAGAAAATAATACTGGAAAGCAAAAGGCAAAGAGAAGTCCTTAATCAAGGAGCCTGGCAATAAGTTACCTAAAATCATCTAGAACTGAAAATACTGCGGGAACAAAGAAGGAAGGTAACAAGCTGTATATAGTATATACCGTTTATACATCACAGAGAAGTCTCTCTCTATTTACAGAGACAGGGTCTTGCTCTTTGTTGTAAACAGGGCTCACTGCAGCCTGGAACGCCTAGGCTCAAATGATCTTCCTGCCTCAGCTTTCTGAGAAGCTAGGACTGCAGGCACATGCCACCATGCCCAGCTAATTTTTTTTATTTTTTGTAGACACAGGGGTTTTGCTATGTTGCCCAGGTTGGTCTTGAACTCCTGGCCTCAAGCAATCATCCTGCTTCAGCCTCCCAAAGTGCTGAGATTACAGGTGTGAGCCACCACACCTGGCCTCATCCTTTTTTTTGAGTTGGAGTCTCACTCCGACGCCCAGGCTGGAGTGCTGTGGTACACTCACCACCACTCCAGAGCCGACCTGCTGGGCTCCAGTAATCCTTCTGCCTCAGCCTTCCAAGTAGCTGGAACTATAGGCACACGCTACCACGCTCAGCTCATTTTTATTCATCATAGAAATGAGGTCTCATCAAGTTGCCCAGGTTGGTCTCGAACCTGCGGGCTCAGACAATCCACTTACCTCTGCCTCCCAAAGTGCTGGTATTACAGGCTGAGCCACTGAGCCCGACCTTTTTTTTTTTTAAAGACAGAGTTCCCAGACTTCCTTACTCGTAAAGCTGTTCTTAAGACTAAGGTATAAAATTAGCCTCCAGAAGCCTACTAACTAATACAGAATCAATAAAGTATCTAAAAGAAGAAAAGTATAGTCCAATATTAGATATGATGAATCTAACAGACAAAAAAAATACAATAATTTGCTTTGAAGTAAGTCCTCAGACAAAAATCTTTTTGGAATATACTACTACCAATGCAAATAGTAAATTAAACAAAGATTTTACTTACTATGGCATCTTTAACAATTTGTTTGGCCACCTGTTCTGGTTTGCAAACAGATGTGGTCTCTGAAATAAGTCGAGTCTCCAAAGGCTAAAAGTGGAAAAAATGTACCTATCAATACAATTATGATTACATTGCATTACAACATAAATTATTCTTACATTCCCTTGATTTATAAATCATTCCAATTTTCTACCTTTGATCAGATTCCTATTTTTCGAATAAGGGTCACCTGGATTCTAAATCAGTTTCTACCTGGTTACAGTGTAAAATTCAGCCCAGTAGCTGAAGCAAGACAAGGAGGCCCTTGTGGTTGATTCCTCTAGGACATATGTAGTCTCGGCTCCAATGAGGACCATCAAGCTAGAGTGAGAACACATCACTGGAAACAAGTTCAGAAAGACCCCGCTTTGACTCCCAGTGCTGGCCAGACACCTGAGCAAGAGGCCAGTCCTGTGTCCTGAGCCAGTCTGCTCCCATGCCCAGCAACTCTATTCTGACTAGACTCCCATGCCAACAGAGGACTGACTTATGGGCGGAGAAGAGCTGAGGCACTGGGCAGGGACAACCCCAATCCAGTCTCTGTCCAACAACTACAGCTGTTTCTTAAAGGATCTGCAGAGGAGGCAAAGAGACAAGATGCTGAAAGAGAAGGAGCCACTTAGGAGACAACACTGAGTGGGCCCTAGTTTGGCTGCAGGTCAGTTACTGGCCTCGTGCCTCAGACCCTAAATCTTGGCCTTTTCTTTTTCAAAAACTGGCTAAAGGTCCATCTCAACTCTCAACTAACTCCAAAAGCTTTGCCTGAATTTTTAACTAGCAGTCATCTCCCTCCCGCCCGCCCTCCCTCTCTCTTTCTCTCTCTTTTCTCTCTGTCTCTGAACATTTCTGCTTTTATACATGTTATAGCTACTTCCGTATTTGCATTTTACCTCCTAAATTTCTTGGGGGCAGGATTTTTTTTTTTTAAATCTTTGACTCTTCTTTGTGGTGGCTTCCATATGTGTGCTGAGAAATTATTTTTAAAAGGGTTTCATTTAGAAGTTTCAAACTAAAGGTTTAAACTGCCTGAGGCTGTAAATTTTATTTAGCATATAGACTTGGAAAAAAAATGAAGAAAATTAAAACCAGAATATATTTTCTTAAAATAGAAAAGCAGAACACTTCATAAAGTCAAGTGTTTCTTGATGAACCCAAATTAAGAGAAAGGTTCTTTTGAAACTTTTGAAGGTACCACTCTTCATTCTTCCAAACCACCAAGTTGGCAGAACCATTTTAGATTCGTATTAGCTTTAAAAGCACTAGAACGCCCCCTAAGGGGCCTACAGATTAATATAGAATTTTATTCACCCAAACAAGACTGCCCAAAATTTTACTGACGAAAAAAACCCCAACTTAATCAACATCAGAATCAAATCTTAACTGGGAAATCACCACCCTTTGTCAGTTCTGGCTTCAAACTAAAAGACTGCATAGCAAATGTTGCAAATCTGCTTAGCAGATCTCTGATTATTCTAAGACAGAACATTTGGCTTAGATTTACTTCTTTGAAATAGTAGTAATTCTAAAAGAGGCAGAGCAAGAGAAAAGAATACAGAAGAAAAGCTTCTAAATCATAAACATCTTTTTGCAAATATAGTCTGTGGAGCACAAGTACCAATTTTTACATTGCTGAGATTCACATTTACAAAGTATTACTATAAAAGACAAGACAATATAGTTTAAAGTTTGGAAGTGTGATACCTCCAGCTTTGTTCCTTTGGCTAAGGATTGCTTTGTCTATTTGTGCTCTTTTTTGCTTCCATATGAGTTTCTGTATTGTCTTTTCAAGGCCTGTGAAAAATGATGTTGGCAATTTGATGGGTATTGCATAGATTCTGTAGATTGCCTTGGGTAGGATGGACATCTTGACAATACTGATTATTTCAATCCATGAGAATGGGATGTTTTTCCATTTGCTTGTATCATCCTTGATTTCTTTGAACAGTGTTTAGTAGTTCTCTGGTTAAGTGGATGTCAAGGTGTTTCTCTTTTTTTGTGTGGCTATTGTGAATGGGATTGTGTTTTTTATTTGGTTTTCAGCCTGCTTGATGTTGGTGTATAGAAATGCAACTGCCTTTCGTGTACTGAGACTTTACCAAACTTGTTTATCAGTGCAAGGAGGTTTTTGATAGACTCTCTAGGGTTTTCTAGGTATAGAATCTCTTTTTTTTTTTTTGATTTGGAGTCTCACTCTGTCACCCAGGCTGGAGGGCAGTGGCACGCTCCCGGCCACTGCAGCCTAGACCTGCTGGGCTCCTGCGATCCTTCCACCTCAGTCTTCCAAGTAGCTGGAACTACAGGCGCGCGCTACCATGCCTGGCTAATTTTTGATTTATTGTAGAGATGCGGTCTTGCCAAGTTGCCCAGGTGGGTCTCAAACCCGTGGGCTCAGACAATTCTCTCACTTCGGCCTCCCAAAGTGCTGGAATTACAGGCTGAGCCAGGCCAGGTATAGAATCTTATCATTCACAAAGAGGGATAACTTAACTTCCTCTTTTCCTACTTGGATACTCCTAATTTCTTTCTCCTGCCTGACTGCTCTTATTACAACTTCCAGTACTATGTTGGATAGGAGGGTGAGAGTGGGCATCCTTGTCTTGTTCCAGTTCTTAGGGGGAATGCTTCCAGATTCTATCCATTGAGCATAATGTTGGCTGCAGGTTTGTCATAGATGATTCTTACTGTTTTGAGGAAAGCTCCCTCTATGCCTAGATGTTCAAAGGTTTTTATCAAGAAGAGATGCTGGATTTTATCAAATGCTTTTTCTGCATCTAATGAGATAATCATATCGTTCTTGGTTTTCACCTATTAATGTGCTTTTTTGGTCTTCAATCTTGTGAATGTTGAACCAGTCCTGCATTCTGGAAATGAAGCCTCCCTGGTCATGGTGGATGATCTTTGAAATGTGTTGTTGGATACAATTTGCTAGAATCCAGCCGAGAATTTTTGCATCTATGATAATCAGGGAAATTGGCCAATAATACTTTCTTCTTGTTGGGTCTTTTCCAGTTTTGAGTATCAGGATAGTATCAGCTTCATAAAATGAGCTAGAGAAAATTTCTTCCTTATTGATTGCCGGAGATGCTTTCAATAAGAAAACATCTTATTGAAAGCTCTTCCTTGTCTGACTTGTAGAATTCAGCTGAGAAGCCATCTGGTCCAGGGCTTTTTTTGGTGGAGAGGTTTCTTAAAACAGAGTCAATTTCCTGGATTGTTATTTGTCTGTTCAGGATTTCAATTTCTTCTTGTTCCAACCTAGGGATGTTATGTGATGCCAGACAATCCTCCATTTCCTCTAGATTTTTTAGTTTATTTGCATACAGATGTTATTGTAATCTCTAGTAATCTTTTGAGCACCCTCAGAGTCAGTTGTGACATCACTCTTTTGTTTGTTTCTGATTGTGTTTATTTGGACTTTCTTTCTCTTTTCTTTAGTCAATCTGGCCAGGGGGGTCTGTCAATCTTATTTATCCTTTCAAAGAACCAGTTTTTTGTCTTGTTGATCCTTTTTTGTTGTTGTTGTTGATGTTTTGGTTTTTTGGGGTTTTTTTGAGTTGGAGTCTCACTCTGTCACCCAGACTGGAGTGCAGTGGCCGCTCCCAGCCACCGCAGCCTCAACCTGCTGGGCTCCAATGATCCTTCCACCTCAGCCTTCCAAGTAGCTGGAACTACAAGCACGTGCTACCATGCCCAGCTCATTTTTTATTTATTGTAGAGATGAGGTCTCGCCAAGTTGCCCAGGCGGGTCTCGAACCCGGGGTCTGGCAATTCACTCACTTCAGCCTCCCAAAGGCGTGGGATTACAGGCTGAGCCACCGAGTCGGCTGTAGATCCTTTTAATGATATTTTTGTCTTCTATATCCTGCAATTGTGACTTTATCTTAGTAAACTTGTTTTTCTACTGCAATTAGGATTTAATTGTTCTTGCCTTTCCAGTACGCTTGGGTGTGACATTAGGCTATTTACTTGTGATCTCTCTATTTTCTTGATATGAGCATGCAATGCTATGAAATTCCCTCATAACACTGCTTCTATGGCATCCCATAGGTTTTGATATGATATGTCTTTGTTTTCATTTGTTTCCAGGAATCTTTTTATTTCTGTCTTGATTTCTGTGTTGACCCAAAAGTCATTCAGCAGCATGTTGTTTAGTTTCCATGTCTTTGTGTGTTTTGGAACAGGACAGAGAATCCAGAAATAAAAACATGGTCCTTCAACCAACTCTTCTTTGACAAAGCCATCAGAAACAAATACTGGGGAAAGGAAACCATATTTAGCAAATGGTGCTGGGAAAACTGGCTAGCCACTACAGAAGAATGAAATTGGACCCTACCTATCACCATATACAAAAATTAACTCAGAATGGATAAAGGACTTAAATGCAAAACCTGAAACTATAAGAATCTTAGAAGAAAACCTAGGGAATACCCTTCTGGACATCAGAGTGTCAAATGAAGTCATGACCAAGTCTTCAAAAGCAAGTGCTACAAAAGCTATCAATCTGAAAGGCTCTTTTGGACAGCAAAAGAGTAAAGACATCAAAAGAGCAAAAAGTAAAAAGATATCTTTTGGGCATCAACAGAGTAAAGACACACCCCATGGAATGAGGAAAAAATATTTGCATATGACAAGGGTCTAACATCCAGGATATACGAGGAACTCAAACAAATTAAAGGAAAAAAGCAACCCCACTAAAAAGTGGGCAAAGGACATGAGCAGACACTTCTAAAAGGATGACATAAAAGCAGCCAACAAACACATGAAAAAATGTTCAGTCTCATTAATCAAAACTTAACAGTGAGAAGTGCACATCAAAACTACAATGAGATACCAACTAACACTGGTAAGGATGGTCGTCATTAGTAAGTCAAAAAATCACAGGTGTTGGCATGGCTACAAAGAAAAGGGACGGCTTCTATACTGTTGGAGGGAATGTAAGCTAGTTCAGCCTCTATGGAAAGCAGTGTGACAATTTCTCAAAGAACAGAAAACTGAGCTTCCATGTAATCCAGCCATCCCTCTCCTGGGAATATACCCAGAGGAACATAAATCACTCTACCAAAAAGACCCCTGCACACACATGTTTATTGCTGCACTATTCACAATAGCAAAAACATGAAACCAACCCAGATGCCCACTGAAAGTGAACTGGATAAAGAAGATGTGGCACAACGACACAATGAAATATTATGTTGCTACAAAGAAGTACAAAATTGTAGCCTTCACAGCAACTTGGATGTAGCTGGAGACCATCATACTAAGTGAACTATCACAGAAACAAAGAACTGAATTCCACATGTTCTCACTCAGAAGTGGGCCCTGAACACCAGTCACACTAGCACAAGGGTGGGATCAGCAGATGCTGGGCACTGCTAGGGGAGAAAGCAGAACACGTGGCAACACAATGGGTACCTAGTCCACTATCACAGGGAAAGAGGGCCAGCTAGAAGCCCAAACTTCACCTGCATGCAACCTACTCAAGTAGAAAACCCTCACTTGTACCCCACAACTCTAAAATAAATAAATAAATGAGAAGACAACAAAAATCTAAAACTAAAATCAACCACAGTTCAAGGTGGTAAGTTCTGTCTGATTCCTTTCTTCCTACTGACTCATTTGCTCACAGAGCAACTACTATGTGTCAAGGCAAAGAGGTGTTCCGCTGAAAAAAGCATGAAGCCTACATTTTGCTCAGGATGACTGGCAATAGTTTTAGAGAATGGATCTGTCCACTGTGGTAAGTGCTACGGAGACTCAAATCATCAGACTCCCAAATCATCTCACCTACAATGGCAGAAGATTAGCAATTTGATACTCAGAGACTCTTAATTCCAGAACACCAGCTGCCACTAAGTGTAGTTATAAGGTGTCTTGCAGGAAACAGAAAAATTAAGCCAAAGCTGGCACTGAATGGTGAGCTCTCCAGCCCTCCTGCCCTTTTCGGCTCTCACAATGCAGGCAGCAGGTCTTATTATCCTGAAGGCAGGAAATTACATGATTCCTCACTAGGGAAACTGATTAAACCATGAGAAAAGTGAGCAGATTCTGACATGTAGGAGTCTTCTAAATAAAGTGGTTGCATCCCCTCCTGATCATCCTATGATAAAGCGAACAGCTGAGAAGTCAGAGCTTTACAATTGGTGTTTTAGTGCCTCATTCTTATGTATGAACAATCAAGGATCCACACACATTCAAGCAGGCCTAAAACAACACCAGAGAAAAAGAAACTCAAAGGAAATAGATAATATAAGATATAGAGACATTATATTAAAAAAAAAATAACGAAAACAAGGCAATACCAAAAGCCCAGAGTGAATTTTCTTAGAAATAAGAGAAAATATGGAATCCATAAAAAGACACAAAATTTTTAAAAAATATTCAGAGAAAAGAGGTCTGAAACAATTTTACATGTCTGCAGAAATAAAAATTTAAACAGAAAAGTTGAAGGATAAACTTAATAAAACTAGAAAGTGGAACAAAAAGACAAAGAAAGAAAAGAAAAAGAAACTAGAGGATTAGTCCAGAAAGTTCAACATCTGAGTAACAGAAGTTCCAGAAAGAATGAACACTTGAAATACTTTGGATAGAAAGAAATGATTAAAGAAGTGATACAATAAAATGTCTCAGGACAAAAGTTTATCAGTCAGTAAAGTAAGAGAAGAGATCATTTGAGTGTCTAGCATATGAAATGTGAAGATTCCACACCAAAAGACATTAAATAAATATAGAAAGAAATAAAAAGCTTTTAAAAATAAACAGAAAAATGGGTCCCATACAAAAAGTTGGGAATCCAAATGGCATTGAAATGAAACCAGAAATCAATAAATGCCCCCCAAATCTGAGGAAACATTATTTTCAGACTAGAATTCTGTACCCAACAAAACAATCCATCAAGAATATATGGAAAATAAAGGCATTTTCAGACATGCGATTTCTAAAAAAAATGCCACCTTGGATGTGACCCTTCTCAGGAAGTTATTAGAGGAGAGCTCCACCAAAATGAGCAGATAAACCCAAAAAAATGCCAGACATGGAATCTGCCACGAGAAAAGGGAGAGGGAACCCTCAGAATGACAGTGAAGACAAGTCTTGAGGCCACTGCTGGGCAGCAGATCTGGAACAGACAAGAAAGAAGGAGGACCCCAGGACAAACATCTCTGAGGGAAAACAAGCAAAACTAAGAGAATGCCCAGTGTGCTCCATTGAATCAAAAGAAGATACTCAGTTCTGTCTGAATCTGGGATTGAATTAGTTATAGACACAAAGCTAAGAAAATGAAAAATCAAGAAAGGAAATGTCATTATTGAGTGACTCAGGTACGAATAATATTGATAAAATCCTATTAATGTTAACACCGAACCTGATTCAACCAAAGAGGTAGGGGACTTTTTGGTTCAATTCCCCAAAGAGACAGTTAGAGAATAGATATGAGTCTTAAACTTTATCTTCCACGGTGGAGAGTCAATAAATAATCTCTAAATCTTAAAAATAAAACAAAGGTGTAAACATGTTAGTTAAAAATAAGTGGCTGCATCTGGGGAGCAGGAATAAGTAACAGGACAGAGTAGTGATTTTCTTTCTAAAACTGTGACATATTCCTCTGATAAAAATGTGATAGAAACTTACATTAAGCTTTAAGAAAAGGGAATAAAGGAAGAGAGGAAGGAAAGATTTCCTGCAGAACCTCAGGAAGGTTGTCAGCAACCAGCTCAGCACTCTACCCAACAGACACTCAATATACACGGTTGACGAACGAAAATGAGTGTGAGTTGAAGAGTAGAAAAAAAAAGCCACAAAAGCAGTTTACAGCGTTCAAGGTTCAAAATGAGACATGTAGGATACTGACCTTTGTTTTGTTTTCTTCGGCAAACCCAGGGGTGTCTGTGTCTGGGGGGTAGGCAACTGTAACGTAGACATTATACGGCTTCACCTGCATTTCAGAAACATGTGCGTGTTCAGTACACAAGACACAGTTGGCGCTGGCTGTCCTGATTCTCAAAAGGTGGCGAGACCAGCAGGGTGATTCTGTAAGTGCAGAACTACCAGCAGCTGCATCAAAAATCCCTCTCCATGAAGATGATTCCAAAATGAAGGCAAAAAGCTCACCCTAACCTCGACTTCAGAAAACAGCTAAACCTAAAGTCTGGCAAATCACCTCCTTCTCAGTGTCTTCTACTCCCACTGCCCAGGCAGAGGTCTGGGGAGATGTCCCTTGAGGAGAGGAGACAGTGTTTAAGGAGTCTGGCCATTCTCCCCTGCGCACTGTACACCGTTCAAGCACCTCGTCAAGGCAATGGAACTGGTCTGCTTTTCCCTCCTCCACCAGACTGCAAATTTGTTTTCCCTCCAGGCTGGTTCTTATACTCTTAGTTGATTTCATCTAAAAATATGTTGAGTCATTAAAATCGTCTCCCCTAAGTCCCTCTTGTGTCTCCCAGACCCAGTCTAGAACCAAATCCAATCCTGAGAAATTTGCTTATTTAAGAACTCCCTGTACAGCCAGACCCCGCCAATTAGGAGGCCAAGAGCCACTTCCTCCAGAACAAAAACCATTCTCCCACTGGGTGGAACCCCCGATGAGACCAGTCCATGTACCTCCCTTGTGGGCAAACTCAGTCCATATTTACACATGGAAATTCATTTGCCTTACGTGAAACTCCATTTTCTTCCTCTGATGCTCACAACTGGTTCTCACACTTGTCTACATCACTGCCATGCCTCCACACTCAACTCCCCAGCTCATAAACACACCCTCAAGACACACCCTTCCCACAGACACTGCTCAGCCCCAGTCCTGCTGCAAACTGTTATTTGCCCTGCTAATAAGCAACTCAAAGGGCAATAGTTCACATTATCAAAATCTCAGACTTTGGAGCAACTTTGAGGGATTTAGAGTCTACAATACTCAGTGATCTACCACAGAAACAAAGAACTGAGTACCACATGTTCTCACTCATAAGTGGACCCTGAACTTTTACCATAAAGCTATAAGAAAGAGATTGGAAAAAGTCAGAAACTGCTGGGGGTGGGGGGGCATGCATAACATCAATAAAGATACCTGATCTCAAACCAGGTGAAGTGGGGACCAATGGGAGACCCAAACTTTACCTGTATGATGACCACTTGTATACCTAATCCTGAATTGTACCCTACATCTTTAAAATAAAATTAAAAAAAAAAAATCTCTTGCCATGACTTTTATTTGCCGTTGGCTCACATTTTAGCTCCTGTGAAGACACCTAGAGAATCTGGAAGTGGAAAGGCAGCTGCAAGTGCAGCTCAGTCATGGCACATCTTCAGAAGAACATCCCAGGCTAAAAGTCAACAAGACCACTACCTAGAGTGTAACGGCCTTCAGGAGTGTGCAAGGTGCCATTTCATCATGTATCCCTTCCTCTCCTTGGTTCCTTCATGAAGCACAGTTCTGAAGCCTGTGGGGAGAGCTGCAGGGGTTGGGAGAAGCATGTAGAAGCTTGTGAGCAAAAGGGCCCAGCCGGCCAACCCAGAAAGCGCAACAGAGAAAGGGAGATGTCTTTGTTGGTTCCGTTCCAGCACAACTAGGGCATGAACTAGCTCATCCACTCAGCACCGACAGGACACGCAGCTTCACGGCCCAGCTATGCTCACACATAGCTCTGGACCAGGCCAGGCGGTGAGGCTGATGAGTAAGCAACTTTGCTTCCACTTGTTTTTGAGGTAGTGACTTTGTAAAAAACTTGTCTCCCACAGCCTTGCCCTCTACTGCACATAGAAAAAAGCCAGTGAGCGGTCATTAGACGGCTCATACAAAAACTGACACTGGCTGCTCAGACAGCCATGTCCATGCTGCCCCTCTGCAATCTCCCCTGCAGTAAGTGAGGATAGTGGCACCTAAGTGAATGTGAGGCAGGATTTCAAAGCAGTGTTTCTCAAACTCAAGGTTATGGCTGAATTGCCAAAGGTTAAAACCATTTTTCAGAGTGGCTTTCTCATAGATTGCTGGGGTTAGAGGCAATGAGTCCAGTCCCTTCCTGGGCTGGTATCCTCACTACGACCATTGAGTCAAATGAGTCTCCCAGTCTCTGGTTGGATACCTTCAGTGGCTAGTCTATTTCTGCACTCTTTTGTCTGTTCATCCAATGAGTACTTATTGAATTAATACTATGTGCCAATATCATTCTAAGAACAAAGCATATGGATGTGAGCATAAGAGACATAATCCCTGCCTGCATGAAGATTCTAGTCTCCTAAAACTTTTGGTCAAACAATTTGCTAAAAATCTGAACACACTCAACTATATCTACACCTTCATTTTATCTCTGCTCTCATAGCCCTGTCAAGGAAATGGGAGTAGCTTGGCTTTACTTGTTCTCAGTAAGACAATGCTGACTCCTTAAGATCACCACTTTTTCCAACAATGGAGAGGCCAGGTTTTCACTAACTGATTGCCCCATTACCCTAGCCATTGTGTGCTTCTCCTCATCCCTACTGCCTGACCATTTTCTGTTCCCCCTCCCCAGCCCACTCCCATCATACTATCACTTTTTCCCTTCTGCCTGGCCTCAACCTCAAACAGGAAAACAACTGACCACTTGCTCAAGAACTGTAATTATCAAAATAATCTACCTGTGATGTGCTGTTTCTCATTCCATCAAAACAAAGACATGAGGGTTGAAGAGAAGATTCTAGCTGTTTACATGAAACTCCAGAATTTAAGCTTTAGCTTACTTTCAGACCATACTGGGAAGAGATGAGAGAAAGGGGAGGGGCATGATAGGGATAAGATAGGCATAAAGGGGAACGCCTATTTTTTTTCTTTCTTTTGCTTGATCTCTGCTACCACATTTTTGGCTATAACCCGCCTCAGAAATCTCTTTTTCCAAAAAGATTAACTTTTTCAAATCTGTAAATAATATACTTGTTCATAAAAGACTGAATAAGAAAAAAGACACTCAAAATGCCAATAAAGCATTCTTTCAAAGTTACTCATTATACCCTACAACACTGCCAGGGTTCTACCTTAGTTTGGGGGCAGAGGGCAATAGACAGAAAGACTTCAAAGTTAATTAAACCAAAAAGGACTGTAGTAAGTGTTTCAAGTTTGAGCAATTACATATGATTCCTGCCACAGAAAACACACTCACCTTGACTAAATTATCTTGGTTTCATTAAACACTACTCTAGGTTGGTAGGGAAACAATAATTAGTTTGATGTAAGTTCTACCACGAACAAACCCGATTTTGATGACTGCATTTATCTTCCCCAAAATCTATTTTTCATGGTATAGGTTCGTTGTTTTATTTTTTGACATCTTTAGTGGAGTCCAAATATGGACAGAAGTCAAACAGACTTGAGTGTCAGGGCCAGCCACCAGCAGCTGAAGGAACCCTGTCAGGATTAGCGACTCACCTTCTCCTCTTTCCTTTTCTTTATTAGCATCTCTGTGCTACCTGAAGTGAAACCAGGCCACTCAGATGATACATTTTGCCCCAAGTAGTGAATCCCAACATAGCTCTGCAAAAAGCTCTGATGCACAAAACAGCTCCAAAACAGCCTTTCACCTACATGTTCTAAGATGGAAATAAAGGGCTGACGCAGCTACCCAGATGAATCAAGCAATCTCTGGCCTGAATTCCAGACACCTCATCTGTTGTGGAATGACAGAAGGTAGTCAAGAGCTTGGGCCTTTTTACTATATCTGTCACAAAGTAACTATGTGACTTTGAGCAACTCACTGAATTTATCAGTTTATCTTATCTATGAGGTAGTATCACAATATCTACCTCACATATTTCACAAACTGTGTTTTTTAACATTTTTATTATAAAGATGCAGGGTACATTTCAGGGTTAGGTATATAAACATTGATCATGCGGGTACCCTTTGGAAGACAGTGTGGCAATTCCTGAAAGAACTAGAAATCAAACTTTCATATGACCCATTGGGAATACACGCAAATCATTCCACTAAAAAGATACCTGCACGTGTATGTTTGTTGCAGCTCTATTCACAACAGCAAAACACAGAACCAACCCTGTTGCTCATCGAAGCTGGACTGGATTAAAAAAATGTGGTACCTATACATAATGGAATATTATGCAGCCATTAAAAAAAACAAAACAAAAACCTGTGGTTTTTAAAAAATGGTATTCCCACACCAAAGGGGCTTTTCAATGTAAAAACTGAAAAAAAAATACCAGTATTCTTGTTTGAAATTTCAAATCCATGTATGCCCTATTGGCTAAGCATATTGTAATAATCTATTACTGATTAAGCGTATTAACCCAGCTGATTCCTCTAGTATGAGAACAGTACAGTCTTATCAGTCCCTAAGTGGTGTATCAGGGCTCAGTCACGGACCCAACAACTCATCTACACTGCAATGCTCATCCCATACATAGGCAGTGTGGCTCTCCATCACACACTATCAAGGTCTCTTCTGGGGATCTTCTAAACAGGAGTTAGCAAACTATGCCCCATGAGTCAAATCTGGCCCTCTGCCTGTTTTTATAAATAAAGTTTTATTTGAACACACTGACACTTGCTCATTCATGTATTGTCTACTATGTAGCTGAGCCAGGTAACTTTTAGACAACATACTTACTACACTTAGCCCTTTATTGAAAATGTTTTGCCAACCCCTGATCTAAATCATTAACCAGGATTCTCAAAAGCATGCTCTTGCTACAAGAGGGCTGGCCACAATGAATCCTCTTCTGGGCTGTTAACATCATGATATAGTATTTTATTTTTATTTCCTTATCTATTTTCACTTTCTATGGTTTCAGCTACTTATGGTCAAGCAAGTTTCAAAATTAGGCAAGTACAGTACAATAAGATACCTTGAGAGAGAGAGACAGGCCACATTCATTGAACTTGTATTACAGTATATCATTACACTTGTTCTATTTTATTATTAGTTAGGTTGTTAATCTCTTACTGTGTCTAATTTATAAATTAAACTTAATCATAGGCATGTGTATATATAGGAAAAAACACAGTACATATAAAGTTCAGTACTATCTACAGTTTTGGGCATCCATTGGGCATCTTGGAACATATCCACCATTGATGGGGGGACAAATGTACAGAGCAGTAGAAAGAAATGTACCTTATCTTTTTCAGTAAGTGATTTGAAGAGATATGTATGTGATGCTCTCTAAACATTCTCATGTGACAACATGAAGTCTACTGCACTCAGCTAAAGTGTAAGGTTGCACACATCATGACAAATACTTATTTTGATGCTAATGCTAACTTTGCCCTTCTTCCATAAAATGTTCCATTAACTGTGAAAAAAAAAAAGCATTCACTCTCCTCAACACTTTTTTTAAAATATGAAAGAAAATATAAGTAAAAAGAGAGCCAAATGATTTTTTTTATTCCAACTCTCACATTTCACCAATGAGAAAACTGAAACCAAGTTAAATGGATTTGTCTAAAAGCTAAGGTTTGGCTAATAGCTGATTCAAGCTCTTCCTTCACATGTATACTAATTTTATTATTCATTCATAAGGACAGATCTTTTAGTTTAAAAAACAATCTCTATAGAATATACGGTTAACCTTACCCATACTCACATATTATTAGATCAATAATACTGAAGATATTACTAGCACTTTGTGTATCAAAACCCCATAACCATTGCATCTGTCACAAATGTAATCTTTATGTAATGAGAAAACGTTAACTGCCAAACTTAGAGTTGAGTCAAATCTCTTTCACTAATGTCAAATCTGCAAGTCTCAAACTTAATATAATAATATAAGTAAAGAAGCTACAAAATGTGCATTGTTGAGCTGAAAGGAATAAACACAGAAAGGAATACAATTTTTACCTCCATCTGCAAAGCTTCAGCCAATCCCCTGATGGCAAACTTGGATGAAGAGTAGGCCGTGAAACCAAACAATCCCAACTGTCCCGCCTGGGAGGACACAAATACGATTCGGCCCACCCGGCGCTCCTTCATGGTGGTGATCACTGCTCGGCTGGGGTACACGCTGCCCAGGTAATTGATGCTCATTAATTTCTGTGGGGAACAAAGGACACATGAGGAGTGAATAAGGTCAAAAGCCTTAAGGCTGCCTCTTCGGGAACTGTGTTTGCTTTCTGGATTTAAGTTTCTCAATGGAAGCTCAACAGATTTGTTGAATGAATGGATGATTAAATGAGGGTGCAAATGAGACATTACTTAAAGCCAATCATTTGAAACCTCGTGACCTACCATTTGAAGCCTATTTCAATCTAGCTTTGCATTCTCACAATGATACCAGTTATGTCTTCACTGAAAACTGTTCAAAATTCATTTTATTCCTTACAAAAAGTACACTGTACATTGCAGGTAATACTTTTTGAAAGACCGTGTTAGAAAAGAGCTTCTGAATATTTCTAGTCTTATTAGTTCTAAACTAAAAAAAAGACCACAAAAAGTAAGACAGTGGTAAAAGGTTTCAAGCCTTGGGTCTACCATTTCTTGCCTATTTGATGATGAAGAAAAAAGTCAGCCATTCTACTCATTTTCTGAGCTGGAAATGAGGTTAATATGGGAACAGACCTCACAGGATGTTACAAGGATTAAAAGAGAAGACACAAGTTAAGTGCTGGCACAACCCTGGCCCACAGTATGCACTCAAGAAACGTAGGCTCTTACATTATGGTGGGTAAGAGTTTACAGAGGGACCAACAGGATATTTTCCTTTTATCCTGAAAGTTCTTAAAAACCTTACATTTAACTTGAAAATCTAAGAATACTTGCAATAAAATGTTTCTATGTCACTTGCATTAAAATGTTGCAAATATTGAAATACTCATAAAAATATTAGATCTTCATATAAAACTGAATATGTAAATAAGTTAATATGTATTCATATAAACTTCAATTGGGAAACGTTAAGTCAATTATGATTTATTAACTCAAGAGAATATTGCCTAACTTTTAAAAATAATGACCAGATCCAGCCTGGGCAACACTGTAAGACCCTGTCTCTCAAAAAAATAATAATAATACCAAAAATAAATAAAAGATAAAAATGACGACTAGAAACACTGGGAGTGACAAGACAAAATATTTACACTATAAGTTTTTTAAAAAACAGAAAGCAGATGGTATTTACACTGTGACTGTAACTATTTTAAATATTACAAGTTCACATGCTCAGGAGCAAAACCAAAGAAACATAGTAATTTGTAAGTAACTGTGTTAGGATATAGAATCGGTTTTTGTTTCCCCAAAATGTGTTCCAATGTTATTATATTACTTTGATAATTAAAATGTTCTTTTAAAAAAGTATCTGAAAAAGGATTGCACACTGAGCCCATGTGTTTACCTCAGCACCCTTTAGAGACCCCATTAATATCTGAGCTTTTTTTTTAAGGCAAGAACCCACAAGAACAAAGAAAATAGGAATAAAAATAATAATAATCTTTCCGAAGCTGAAGAATAGAATGAGGAGAGATAACTAACTTAGCAGGCCAAAGAAAACTGAATAGTAAGCAGGGCGGCGGGGAGGACTAAAAAGCAGAATTATACCACAAAGCTTCAAAAGACTCAAGCTGAACCACGAATCTCAGGGGCAAGGGGAAGGGGGTCGTGGGCAGAAAGGCAGGAATATGGACTAAGAGAAACAGCCCAAATGTACATCTATAATGAATGCATAAACAAAATGTAGTCTATCCATACAATGGAATATCATCACCCTATACAGAAAAACGAAGCGCTGATACATGCTACAACTTGGATGAACCTCAAAAACCTCATGCTAAGTGAAAGAAGTCATACACAAAAGAGCACGTATCACATGATTCCATTTATACAAAATATCCAGAGAGACCAGACTACAGACCGGGGTATCAGAAGGTGGGGGATGTGGGGGGAATGGGGAGCAACTGCTTACCAGGTACAGGGTTGCCCTTTGGAGTGATGAAAATGTTTTGCACCTAGACAGAGGTGGTGATTGCACAACACTATGAATTTGCTAGATGCCTGTGAACTGTTCATTTTAAAAGGTTTAATTTTATGTTACACAAATTTCACCTCAATTTTTTAAAAAAAATGATGTAGGTTAATGAGCAAAAAAAGAAAAAGAAAAGACAGTAGGATCCTAGATCCTAGATGCCCTTTCCCTCTCCACAGAGTAGATCTGTGCCCCTCTTCCAACCTGGCAGGTGACTGGTGGTTCAGTTGCTAGAGAGAGTTAAGCCAGATAAAGTCAGAGATTTAAGTGAAAATCTTCTGGATGCTGCATACTGACACATCAACTCTCTTTCCCAAATCCACTTTCATAACACCGTAAGCAGGCATGTCTTTCCCAGGCAGAAGACTGGAAGACTCTTCTCAGGGCTTCTGGTCAACCTAAGGGAATGGTCTACAAATACTGACACTGAACCTTCCCCCAGAGATATGACCCAGATAATCACCCTTAAGAAGGGCCCATAATTAAACACCTCTATCCACAGGCAAGGAATTCTCCATTAGCTCAGTGGTACACTGTTCTTAAATATGAAAACATAGTCAAGGGCCACCAGACGTCCAAGCAAAGCCTCTGACATGAAAGGCAGAGGTACTGGCCTCTTAGATGAAATAAACACATGTACAAAGCAGAGACAATGAAAAGACAAAAAAAAAATCATCCTAAATAGCCACAGATAGATGAGAGGAGACAGCACCAAGAAACATAAAGAAAACCATTAAACACGAAAATTAAGAGAAATGTGTTGGGGTTCCCCAAGATCACACCCAGGTGCATGATTCACTAGAAGTTCTAAGTTCTTAGCAGGTGGTTGTACTCATGATTAAGATTTATTACAGAAAAAGGATACAAAGCAAAATCAGCAAAGAAAAGAGATACATGGGGAAAAGTCCAGAAGAAACCAGGTGCAAGTTGCCGACAGTTCTCGCCCATCAGAGTCATATAGGAAGTACTTAATTCTCCCAGCAATGAGTTGTGACAACACGTGCAAAGTACTGTGTACAGGCATCTTATGTGCATGTAAACTTCAACTAAAAACTAAAAAGCAAATATATAACCGGGATAGAATTCATTTTAAATAAATGTGATTCCTATCTTCAGAAAATGCATCACATGTGGTACAGAAGGCGTACCCCCCTTCTCCAAAATGCTTGGAACCAGAAGTATTTTGGATTTCAGATTTTCCATATTTTGGAATATTTGCGTAATACCGGTTTAGCATCCCTTACTCAAATATCCAAAATCTGAAATACTCCCATGAGCATTTCCTTTGACCGCTACGTCTGTCCTCAAAAAGTGTCAGATTTTGCAGCATTTCAGATTTTAGATTTTCTGAATAGAGATGCTCAATCCGTAGTAGTGCATCTTCTTACAGGGTTCATTAACAATAAAGCCGTTACTGACTTAACTAGAACAAGGCAAATGACTGAGACTGAAGGGAGAGAGAGAAGAGAGGCAAACAATGGCCCTAGAAGATGACATGCCCCAGAGTATGGTGGTCTCCAGCCTCCATTAAGGGAAAGAGAAGCTGCTCAGTGGAGGTGACAGGGGGAACACAGGAGGAGGTGGGGAAATGAACAGAGAGGCCATGGGGCCCACAGCCATCAACTCCTGGAATGAGGTCTGGTCAATGGACCTAGTGGCAACTGGTTTGGGGCTAACAGTCCTTTCTCTTTAGAAGGCATGATCTCACATGTAGGTGGGGCCGCCTCCAGGAGCTCCCCAGCATCCAGCCTCTCTCAGCTGCTTAGGTCCCTCCCCAGTGGTGACGGGATGACCCCTGCAACTCCTCACACCAGTGTCTACATACGCCTACACCCCCATCCACTCCCAAGATCATCACCTGGCTTCAACTACTCCGACAGCCCCTACTGTTCTCCCTGACATAGCAGGCAGAAAGATCCTCTAAAAACCTAAATGCAGATCATATTGCTCCCTAGCCTAGCTTAAAACCCTTCAGGTTTTGGACTAAGATCCAAAGTCCTCCTGTAGGCCTTCAGGACCCAAGCAGACCCCTTCCCCACACTGCCCCTCACTCAGAAGCTCCAGACACACGAGGCTACTAGTTGATCCTTGAACTCACCCAGCACTGTTCCATGGAGTGGCTGCCTCTGACTCCTCCGAAGCTCTTCCCTTCTCTCTTTTCACACTCATTCTTCGGGTCTCAGGCATCAGAGTCAAGTCCCCTTCCATGCTCCTTCAGAGGCCCCCTCTGTGCCTTTTCCTCTCTATCCGAGCTCCCTGTTCCTGTCCCTCGGCACCTACTCTCCAAAACCCTGCTGCTTATTTGCTTGTTTGTGCATGGTCTGCCCAGCCTTACTTGGGCCAAGACTTTATTTTCTTGCTCACCACTGCATCCCCAGGCCCCAGAACAATGCTTGATGCCCTAGACGTTCTCTTGAATATTTGTGGATTGAATGAATAAAAGGAGAAGGAAATGAGCATTATGAAACAACTATTATGGACCAAGCATCATGCAGACATTGCAATACTTAATCCTCAGAGCTCCGTGAACTAGAGAGATGGAAGCTGGGGGGTGGGAGAAAGCTGAGGCCAGAAGAAAACAGAGTGTCTTGCCTGAGAGCACACAGCTAGCAAGTGGTAGGACTTAAAACCATCAGAAGCAAGATCTGAAACCAGTTTAGTCTGATGCCAAAGGCTACTTTTTCCTACAGTACCATGCTTCTGGAAAATAGAGCAACAGTCTATGTGGGTGGGTACAGGTGTGGAAGAGACGCTGGTGGTCACAGAAAAGGAAGAAACTAGTTCTTTTTTAAAAGAGGAAAGAAATGGCAGTATGAATGGGTTGAGAGAAAAGTGAGTTTTTAAAAAGATTCAAATGGTGCATTTTAAAATATTTCAACATGCTTCATATCATTCCACACACTTTTTTTTGTCTTTCCTCATTTCACCTGCTTCACATGTTCTCCTTGTCACTGATACCAACATTCACTCACCTACTATACACTCTGTTTCTTCCATTCTTGTTCACTATCATACACCTCCACAGGACACCTTCACTTGATTATCTTGGTGCTTCCATCTGACACACAAACGTACATAATAACCACTCCCGCTACCCCTGACAGATATGTCTTGCTTGCTGAGATCCTACCCTTAAACTATGCATTTATTGCAACCACACAAGTATTTATTATTCAATTCACTCTCTGCCCTACATGTTCACACAAGTGAGTCTGCCAATCCTCCCTCCATATCATCTTACACACAAACATGCCCACACATGTGTGCACACACTCTTAACACCTATACCTCTTTTTTCTGGCTACCTCCCAAGTCTTTTGTTTGATCATTTCATGCCCAGACTACAACAACTATCTTCCCTAATTGATTCTTTACACAGCTGTTGACAGACTCTTCAAAAATCCCTCTTCCATTCCTTACAGACAAAGGCATACAAGTCTATGCAGCTATCTTCTATGCCCAGTTGACAAAGGCGGCTAAAGACACTCACGTTCTACCCCTCTGCTTGTATCTACCTCTCGACTCTGCTGTCGTGCCTTAAGTGAAACACAGAGCTTCTGGTGCTTTCCCACAGCCCACCAGAAGCAAGAAAGCGATCTACAGAATTGGTCTAGTAGTCTCTTTTCCTATGAAAGTGAAATGTAATTTGACATTCAAATATTCAAAACCCACTGTTATGATGCTCAATAGAAACACTAAGAAAAAGACAATGATGCACTGCCATCTAAAACATGTTTTGCACTTTAAAAATATTTCAAATTGTATGTCCATTTCTTTGGTGCTGAAATAAATTGCTACAAGAGGTTCCTTGGCAAATTTGTATAAAAGTATCAACATAAATAGTATGCATTATCTTGACTTGAGAACTCTAGCAAGTCTGTTCTTCAACTTTTTTGGTTTCTTGTTAATAATACTAACATTTGACATGAACACTCAATATCTCTTAATGTTTACAAAGTGTTCTCAGTGAATCACTGTAGTACACTGTGTCAGATTAGAAGTTTCCTTACTATTTTACATTTAAGAAAATCAAAGTTCAGAGACCTGTCTAAACCCTTAAGGTTTTTAGGGTCATGGCACTGGAAACAAAACCTTGTTCTGCCTTCTTCTAGTCTTCTCAAGCATCCATGAAGATCTGAATGCATTCACCTATTTCATTCTTTTAGCCTTTACCTATGGCTTGTTCTACTTTTGTATGTTGGCTACCCCAATGAGCAAACATTTTTACTTACTTCAAAAGTACTAACTTCCAGATCTTCAAATTTTCCTGATAATGATAATCCTGCACAGTTTACAAGCATGTCCACTGGACCCAGTTTTTCCTGTGCCTAGAAAAATGTATCAGAGGAGGTATGAGAAAGAGAGAAGCCACTTAGCAACAAATCCATGCTAGTACATAGCATCTACAAAACTGCTAAATCTATAGGAAATATTTACCTACTTCGAGTCACACAGCAAAATAGTAAGAACCAATCAAACATCAAGCACATTAATTTTAATTAGCCCAACCTCTTACTTGTTTTATGACATTCTCTACTTGGTTATAGTCTTGAGACACATCAACTGATATACAAAGCACCACCTGTTAAAAAAGAAAAAAATGATCAAAGATATGCAGGCATCAAAACTTTTTTTTGCAGATGTTTTTAAAATGAAAGACAATTCTTTCCAATAGAGAAAAAGACTAATTTTGAATGTACAGACCGCAGTGTTTGAAATCTGCCGATGGTGCAATTAGTAGAATCTAGTTTTCTTGGCAGTTTTTGGAGTTAAGCAAACTCCTAAGAATGTTTTAAGAAATGTAAAAATGTTCTTCTTGAAATGCCACTAATCTACAGTGACAGAAAGCAGATCAGGGGATTCCCACAGCCAGGAATGGAGGACAGCATGAACTATGAAAGGGCACAGGCAGACTCTGAGGAGAGATGGAAATGTTCTGGATCTGGATGGTAGTAGTGTCTCACAAGTGTGTATATCTGTCAAAAGCCATTAAGCTATACGCTTCAAATGAATGTGGTTCATTTTACATAAATTGTGTCTCAATAAAGTCCGTAAAAAGAATAATATAAACCTAACAAATAAGTTTTTAAATATACTTCCCTTGAAGCAGTATCAGGGCTCTGACAACCCTACTGGGATTCATTCAGTATCATTCATTCAGTATCAGTAAGTGGAGTAAAGAGGTGAGTGCTATTTCCAGAAATCATACTAAGTCTGAGTTCAGAGACTAGGTCAGATGACAGCAAAAGTGGACCTTGGGATGTTATCTGACAAGGAAAGCCAAGGGTCAGTCAGCTTGAAAGAGCTCAACTGGGAACTGAGTCATATTTGGTTCACTCCATTTAGACTTTGAAAAGAAAAAAAGGAAAGAAAGGAAGAAGAAAAGTGGGAGGAAAGCACAGACTTGGGTGCTTACTTTGACAGAAATGTATGAAATAGAAAGCAAGAGCCCTAAAAGGAGTGAACAGTGAGTGGCTGTTTTAATTTTCCTTTTCAGGTCATGTTTTCAAAACAAGAGCCGAGACCTCCAACAGAGGAATGTTCTATGTTCCAAAGAAGGTCACTGCAAGAAGCAGAAAAGTGTTCTTGATTTCTCAGTCTTTCCATGAATTCTTCCCTTTTGAGAAGGGTTGCCAAACTAACAGGGAGACAGAGTGTGTGTGCTTGGGAGGTACATCACACCAAAACCATATGCCCCTCCTGTGGAGTCATGAGTCCAGGGGTAGTGTGTTATACAGGAAGAAATGGCATGGCCTTTAGAAAGCCTGGGCTCCAATCCTGGCTCTTCATTCACTAGTTGAGCAGAACCTGAGAAGGGTGTAGTGGCCTCCACAATAAAGAAGGGATCAGAAGCTGGTGATGACCAAGATTCTCTCCTATTCTAGGAAGTCACACCAAAGGGCTGAATGAAGAGACCCTTTAATGTCATGATGTATTATCCCCTGAAAAAAGAGATCCATTGCCTTAGGATCAGTTACAACAGGCAGAAAATTGTATTTAATGCAAGAAGGAACCCCATCCAAATTATCTAAATTTCCAAAAAAAGCAAACTGCCCCCTTCACAAGCATGACCTAGAGCATTCCAGTCTAGAGGAGAGGCCCTTGGTTGCAATATACTCCAAGTAGATTTATACCCACACACTCACACAGAAAACATTTTCTAAAGGCAGTAGAAATCATATGATTAAGTTTAAAGCATATTTTTTCATGCAGTATTAGATCGGTTACTGTAAATAAAATCTATACCACAGACAAGTAAAAAAAAAAGTCACCAAAAAAATTTTAAAAGTCCCAAGAAGGTGGGATGGCAGAGGGATAAAACTCACTCTTGTCCACTCCAGCCCTGATTATCTGCCTTCTTTGATGTAAAAAAGTTTTCCACCTGCCCTAAAGCCCTTTGATAGATGAAGTGGAGTAGGTGTTGTAATGAAGAAGCTCAGCAGAGACAGTGCTGGCAGAAGGCAAGACTGGCCTTGGGCATGAGCTTTCAGGTTCCATGGCTTTACACCACACTCCTTAATCTACAGAAATATACGGGAAAAAATGGGGATTTACACAGCTGGTGTTCTTCCAATGCTTGTGGGCTTCAGAGAAGAGGTACAAGCAGAAGCCACAGTCCTAGAAAAAACTCACAGTGTACAAGGAGATGTGGACAGGATTTTTCACCTGCAACATAGATTGCAATAGCACAAGAAAAAAAAAATGAATCAGGCTTGGTGGTTCAGCCTGTAATCCCACACCTTTAAGAGGCTGAGTGGATTGCCTGAGCCCGCGGGTTCGACACCCACCTGGACAACTTGGCGAGACCTCATCTCTACAATAAATCAAAAATTAGCCGGGTATGGTAGCATGCACCTGTAGTTCCAGCTACTTGGAAGGCTGAGGCGGAAGGATCGCCGGAGCCCAGCAGGTCGAGGCTGCGGTGGGA